ATTGCATAGGTCTACCTTTGTCCCCATAAACCTCTTCCAGCCTGCTCCTGCCCCCACCCCCCGCCAACCAGGCCCTCACCACCCTTTTGTCTGTGTCCATGTGTTATGAATATACGCCTATGAGTTCATTTATTGATCTCTTTGCCCACACCCCCCACCCCGGCCTTCACTCTGAGGTTTGATATTCTGTTCAATACTTCTATATCTCTGGGTCTATTTTTGTTCATCAGTTTATGCTGTTCATTAGATAGAGTCCACCTTGTGTGAGATCATGTGATAATTTATCTTTCTCCAGCTGGTTTATTTCACTTAGCATAATGCTCTCCAGATCTATCCATGCTGTTGCCAATGGTAAGCATGGTTTTTCATAGTAGCGTAGTATTTTGTTGTGTAGATGTACCACAGTGTTCTAATCCACTCAGCATTTGGGGTGTTTCCAAATCTTAAATATTGAGAATTGTGTTGCTATGAATATAGGGGTGCATATATTCTTCCTAATTGGTGTTGTTGATTTCTTGGGATACTTTCCTAGAAGTGGGATTACTGGGTCAAATGGAAGTTCCATTTTTAGTATTTTGAAGAAACTCCATACTTTTTTCCACAGCAGCTACACCAGTCTGGATTCCCACCAGCCGTGTACGAGGGTTCCCTTTTCTTCACTTCCTCACCGGCACTTTTTGTTTGAATTGTTGATGGTAGCCATTCTGACAGGTGTGACATGATACCTCATTTTCATTTTTATTTGCATCTCTCACATAATTAGTGACTCTCAGCATTTTTTCATTGATCTCTTCACTTTCTGTATGTCCACTTTGGACAAGTGTATATTTAGGTCATTTGCCCATTTTTAAATTGGATTGATTGTGCATCTTTTGTTAACTTGTGAGTTTCCTATATATTTTGCAGCTTAACCCCTTATCAGATGTATCGTTGAGAAATATGTTCTCCCATGTAATAGACTCTCTTGTTTTGCTGATGATTTCTTTTGCTTGCAAAAGCTCTTTATTTTCATATAGTCCCACTTGTTTATTTTTTCCTTAGTTTCCATTGTCCTAGGACAGTGATGGCGAACCTTGTGAGCTCGGCGTGTCAGCATTTTGAAAAACCCTAACTTAACTCTGGTGCCGTGTCACATATAGAAATTTTTTGATATTTGCAACCATAGTAAAACAAAGACTTATATTTTTGATATTTATTTTATATATTTAAATGCCATTTAACAAAGAAAAATAAACCAAAAAAATGAGTTCGCGTGTCAGAGGTGTTATAGGTTCACTGTCCTAGGAGATGTATCGGTAAACATATTGCTATGAGAGATATCTGAGATTTATGGACTATGGTTTCTTTTAGGAATTTCTTTTTTTGGTTCCACCTCTGACATTTAAGACTTGTATTCATTTTGAGTTTTTTCTTGTGTATGGTGTAAGTTGGTGGTTTAGTTTAATCTTTTTGCATGTACCTGTCCAATTTTACCAACACAATGAAACAGACTATCTTGTCTAAATTGTATGCTCTTGCCTCCCTTGTCAAAAATTGAGCACAGTGACTTGGGTCAATTTCTGGGTTCTCTATTCTGTTCCATTGAACGACATGCCTGTTCTTGTGGCAGTACCAGGCTGTTTTGATTATAGTGGCTTTGTAGTATAACTTGATAACTGCTATTGTGATCCCTCCATTTTTGTTCTTCTTTCTCAAGATTGCTGCAGCTATTTGGGGTCTTTTTTGGTTCCATGTAAATTTTTGGAGTGTTTATTCTAGGTCTGTGAAATATACCTTTGGTGTTTTAATAGGAATGGCATGGAATCTGTAGACTGCCTGGAGTAATAGGGACATTTTAATGATATTATTCTGCAAATCCTTGAACACAGTATATTTTCCCACTTGTTTATATCTTCCTCTATCTCTATTTTCTTTTTTTCTCTTTATTAAGTATTAAAAATGTGTCCTTACCTCCCCATTGCCCCCCATAGCGCCACTCACCCCCCGGTGTCTGTATCCATTGCTTATGTTTATATGCATGCACACAAGTCACTTGGTTGATATCTATCTCTATTTTCAATGTCCTCTATTTTTTGGAGCTTACCTCCTTGGTTAGGATTATTTCTAAATATCTTAATTTTTTGTTGCAATGGTTAATGGGATTGTGATAGTGTGTGTGTGTGTGTTTGTTTCTATTTCTGAGAGTTCACAATTGTATAAAAATGACATATTTCTGGTTGCTAACTTTGAATCCTACTACGTTTCTCAATTTATTATATCTAGTAGTTTTTTTATTGCGTCTTTAGGTACAATATCATGTCATCTGTGAATGAGAGTTTTACTTCTTTCTAATTTGGATGCCTTTTATTTCTTCTTCTTATCTGATCACCATGGCCAGTAATTCCAGTACAATTTGAACAAGAGTGTGAAGGCGGATATTCTGTCTTGTTCCTGTTCTTAGGGGATATGGTTTTAATTTTTGCCCATTGAGTAGGATGTAGGCTGTAAGTCTGTCATATATGGCCTTGGTTATGTTGAGGTATATCCCTTCTATTCTCACTTTGCTGAGTTATTTAAAAAAAAACAGGGTGTTGGATTTTTGTCTAATGCTTTTTCTGCATCGATTGATATGATCATGTGATTTCTTTTACAATCTGGTTTCTTTTTTATTTTTGGTCTTGCAATCTATGTATGTGCTGTATCACGTTTGTTGATTTGCAAATATTGTACCAGCCTTGCATCCCCAGAATAAATCCCACTTGGTCATGATGTTTGATGTCTTTATTGTATTGCTGGACCTGGTTTGCTAAAATGTTGTCAAGGACTTTAGTATCCAGGTTCATCAGGGATATTGGCCTGTAGTTCTTTTTCTTTTTTCAATATATTTTATTGATATTTTACAGAGAGGGATAAAGAGTTAGAAACATCAATGAGAGAGAAACATTGATCAGCTGCCTCCTGTACACCTTCTATTGAGGATGTGCCCACAACCAAGGTACATGCCCTTGACTGGAATCGATCCTGGGACCCTTCTGTCCGCAGGCCAACGCTCGAGCCACTGAGAAAACTGGTTAGGGCCTGTAGTTCTTTTTCTTTGCCATATCTTTATCTGTTTTCGGAATTAGGATAATGCCTGCTTTGTAAAACGAGCTTGGAAGTGTTGTATACTCTTGGATTTGTTGGAATGGTGTGAGGGGTATAGTTGTTAGTTCTTTGAATGTTTGGCAAAACTCTGTTTCGGTAAGCCATCTGGACCAGACCTTTTCTTTGCTGGGAGTTTTTTGTTTTGTTTTAATTACTGCTTCAATTTCGTTGGTACTTATTGGTCTTTTCAGGTTTTCTGATTCTTCCTGAATGAGTTTTGGAAGGTTGTATTTTTCTAAGAATATGGGCATTTTGTCCAGGTTGTCCTGTTTGTTGGAATAATGTCCGTCATAGTATTTTCTTACAGTCCCTTGTATTTCTGTGGGGTCATTTTTTACGGCACCTCATTCTGTGTCTGTCAAGTCCAATTCCCAGTTCTTGCCATTCCCTGGGCATCTTTCCTGATTGTAAATTGTCTGCTGAGCTGCATGTAATTTGTTAATAACAAGTGGGTGCTCTTTGATTTAGTTGTATTTCCAGTTTGGCTCAGGACAAGATGCACAATAGATCAGCCTATTCGGCCACCATTTATTTATTTATTTTTTTTTTTTTACCACTTTCTGATCCTTGTTGTTAAACCCAGCCAGAGTGACCTCCGTACAGTTCGCAAATGCACAGGGCAGGCTCCCACCTGGAGCCCGCCCACCCCTTCCCAGACTTCCGCAGTGAAGACCCCCACTGACCAACGCTGGTTTCACCTCCCCCCATCGCTGCTATCACCTCTCACAGGTATCCTGGTCCATTGTGTACTGTCCTCCACTAGATGCCAGTTCCCAAGGACAGGGGACTCTGTATTTGGGGAATCTGAAACAGTTGAGCTCAACAGTATGCAAAGCCACAGTCTTTGTATGTGTTCCTTATGCCCACCCATGGCTGCTGAGTCTCCATCCGGCCTGATTCAAGTTCTCATCCCTACAGCCTTCCCTCAGCCCACCCGCTCAAGGAACCTGGACCATGAGCTGGCAGGAACACGTTCACAGGCACCCAAACTATCTGCCCCCTCAACCACACCCCCCAGCAGCACACTATTCCCCAGAATCCAGGAACTATGCCCTCATTTCAGGTCTTCCATACACAGGCAAAACTTAGGGGCGGGGGCACACCAACCACAAATCATCCTCCAAATGTGGAATTATATTGAGACCAATCCTCTCCTTCTGGAAATGCTTGTATTACAGAATGTTCCCACCATTGAAAATAAACAAAACCATATCCTGGAGAATCCATGCTACCTCCAGGACGGTTGGGTGAAGGGGTCGGGGAGAGGTGTGCTGTATTTTTAATAAAGTGCAAAATAATCCCTAAAATAAAAAAAAAGAGAGACGTAAACACCAGTGGGTCTCAGGGGTGTGAATGGGTTGGCGGGAGGCAGGATTTTCTAAAGGTGAACTGATTTCAGGGCCCATAGCATCAGGGGGCTTCTCCCAGATACAGAAGTAGGTTCATTTGCAGCAGACCAGGTCCTTGGTGGGTGGGGAGGAGCAGGCTGGAGAGACCTCTGGATGGAGACAGAAGAGCCCTGGCCAGTACATCTCAGGCACACACAGAACCCCAATCCCTCCCAGGGCCTTGCCTCTCTGCCAAACACTGGGAAGGGCACAGTGAGCCCACCTGCAGTGGGAACATCCCAAGAAAAGGCAGGAGTGAGCAAAGGTGGGTGGTGCCGTCAGAAGCCCCATCTCAGGGCACCAGGGTGAATGTTTGGATTTTTTGGTAATCCTCACCTGAGGATATTTTTTCATTGATTTTCAGACAGAGTGCAAGGGAAGGGGGAGAGGAAGGGAAAGACTGGGAGAGACATCAATGTGAGAAAGAAGGAAAAATTAGATGCCTCCTACAAAGCTCCATAGGGGCCAGGATCAAACCTGTAAACAAGAACCACAAAGTCACGCAGTCTTTATTTCAAGGCCGTGGGCAGCAATGCACTAAAAGCCAATATTGGTCAAAGAGTGATTTCCTGGCACTATGCTGTCCCTCCTAAAGCACAGAAACGTTGGGATCCACACAATATCTGTAAATTATACAACGTAGACCACAGTAGTGCTTGATAATCATCCCTGGGGGTGAATATAACCAAGAAAATTAAAGGTACTAAAGAAAAAATACCTTTACTAAAGATCACAAACCAGAAAACAGGACAAGGCGGTTTGCAGGTTGGTGAATCAGAATTTGAAACAATTCATCACAGCATAATGTGAGAACCACATGTCCCGGACAGAGGCCGCACTTCTTAGCTGAGGAAGGTGCCCAGTATGAACCGTGGGTCAGGTGCATTACCTCCTCGGAGACAAATGAAGATCCTGTCAGGAGCGGAGGGTTCCTAATGTTCTCAAGCACAAGTGACATCACAGAATACATTTCCCCTTAGCACGCAGTGGTTGGGACTGATACACACTCTTCAGGTGAGCCAGGTTGTAGAGGGGAAATCTCTTCAGCCACAAATCAATCGGGTAGAAGACCTGGGCATGTTACAAAGTGCTATGCACCTCGTTTAAGCTTCACCTGTACTGGTAACATGAAGAATCTAGAAGAGTGTATGTTCCATTAAAAGGGGTTTAAATTCAGGAAAATAGGTCACAAAGAGTCTCCTTCATTGTTGTTATTCTAAGTGAATAAAAGGAAACATTCCCTGCACATTTAAGACTTCTCTCCAGTGTGAACTCTCAGATGTTTATTAAGGTAGGCTTTTCGGCTAAAAGACTTCCCACATTCAGTACACTCATGTGGCTTCTCTCCAGTGTGAACTCTGAGGTGTACAGTGAGCTGAGCCCTTGTACGAAAGGACATCCTACATTCTCTACACTCATATGGCTTCTCTCCAGTGTGAACTCTGAGGTGTTTAGTGAGGTGATGCCGTATACGAAAGGACATCCCACATTCACTGCACTTATATGGCTTTTCTCCTGTGTGAACACTGTTGTGTTGTCTGAGGTTAGACCTGTAACGGAAGGATTTCCCACAATGTCTGCACTCATATGGTTTCTGTCCAGTGTGAACTCTGAGGTGTCCAGTGAGCTGAGCCTTTGTACGAAAGGACATCCCACATTCTCTGCACTTATATGGCTTTTCTCCAGTGTGAACGCTGTTGTGTTGTCTGAGGTTAGACCTGTAACGGAAAGATTTCCCACATTCTCTACACTCATATGGCTTCTCCCCACTGTGAACTCTGAGGTGTACACTGAGCTGAGCCCTTGTACGAAAGGACATCCCACATTCTCTACACTCATACGGCTTCTCTCCGGTGTGAACTCTGAGGTGTCCAGTGAGCTGAGTCCTTGTACGAAAGGACATCCCACATTCACTGCACTTATATGGCTTTTCTCCTGTGTGAACTCTGTTGTGTTCTTTGAGGTTAGACTTGGAGCTGAAGGATTTCCCACAATGTCTGCACTCATATGGTTGCTGTCCAGTGTGAACTCTGAGGTGTACAGTGAGCTGAGACTTTGTACGAAAGGACATCCCACATTCTCTGCACTTATATGGCTTTTCTCCAGTGTGAACGCTGTTGTGTTGTCTGAGGTTAGACCTATAATGGAAAGATTTCCCACATTCTCTACACTCATATGGCTTCTCTCCACTGTGAACTCTGAGGTGTACATTGAGCTGAGCCATTGTACGAAAGGACATCCTACATTCTCTACACTCATACGGCTTCTCTCCGGTGTGAACTCTGAGGTGTCTAGTGAGCTGAGTCCTTGTACGAAAGGACATCCCACATTCACTGCACTTATATGGCGTTTCTCCTGTGTGAATGCTGTTGTGTTCATTGAGGTTAGACTTGGAACGGAAGGATTTCGCACAATGTCTGCACTCATATGGTTTCTGTCCAGTGTGAACTCTGAGGTGTACAGTGAGCTGAGCCGTTGTACGAAAGGACATCCCACATTCTCTACACTCATACGGCTTCTCTCCGGTGTGAACTCTGAGGTGTCTAGTGAGCTGAGTCCTTGTATGAAAGGAAATCCCACACTCACTGCACTTATATGGCTTTTCTCCTGTGTGAACTCTGTTGTGTTGTTTGAGGTTCGACTTGGAGCTGAAGGTTTTCCCACAATGTCTGCACTCATATGGTTTCAGTCCAGTGTGAACTCTGAGGTGTTCTATGAGGTGGGTCCTCTGACGAAAGGATATCCCACATTCACTGCACTTATACGGCTTTTCTCCTGTGTGAACTCTGTTGTGTTTTTTGAGGTTATACTTGTAACTGAAAGACTTCCCACACTGTTTGCACACATATGTCTTCTCTCCAGTGTGAACTCTCTGGTGTCTAACAAGTGAAGGTCTTTTTCTGAAGAACTTCCCACATTCATTACACTGATACTGCTTTTCTCCAGTGTGAACTCTATGTCGAATGACGTTCAAGTTTCGTATAAACACTTTCCTACATTTGTTACACTCATAAATCAGTTCTCCAGAACACACACCCTCACACTGAACAACTTTCAGGTTGTGGCTGGCAGCGTTTCCACATTCATCCCACCGGTGATGACTTTTTCCACGGAGAAATTCCTGTGAAATCTCACTGCTACAGGGTAGCTCCTCAGTGTTGAGAGTGGCCTGGTGCTGGGGAAGCTCTGGGTTGGATTGCAAGTCTTCCCCAACCTCCCTGCTGGTTGAAGGCACCGAAGGTAAGGAGAAGCTGCACCTGCTCACAAAAGAGGTCCCGTCCATAGCTTCTTTCCAGGGCCCCTCTCCACATTCATTCTTTTGTTGCTGGTGAGGGTTTACACTGAAACAGAATTCTCCAACACATGCGTCGCTACAGAAGGCTTTCTGCTCAAAGTACGCTGCATGTGACCCAGTCGGGTGCAAAATATGTTGCAACAGAGAGAAACACCGCTTACAGAGATGGTTCTTATGGGTGTCTTGAGCTGTCTTAGAAGTCCGGACCTGTAACTTGCCTTGTCTACATACTTGCTGATCAGAAGAGGCCTCCTCATCTTCCATTTTATGCCAACAACCTGAAAAGTGAGAAATGGTGAGGAAATGAATGTTGAATGTGGTGGCAGGGGGAAGTCCCATTGCAAAAGTGTGTTACACATCACACGTTGGTTCCATGCAATTGTCTGAAAATAAGAGATGTGCAGGAAGGATTAATAACAGGCTCTTGTGACTTTCTACGCTAATGAAGATCACAAAACAGGGAGGCCTCACCAGAAATATGACACAAACATGGCAAGCACCACATGGATGAGAATATGGATCTCCAGCCCATCCTTCAACTAACAGCATTCTGCACGTATTGTTTACCGGGGGTGGGCGGTGGGGGAGAGCTGTGGAAGAAGTTGTTTAGGTCTTACTCCAAGTAAAATTCAATAAAGGAGTAGCTGGTTTCAAGGACTAATTAGCACTTCAATGCACATATCACATGTACAAGTCAACGTTGCAGATTACTGCAGAGGCACCAATGCAGATGAACAGGTGATGAAGAAGTGAGTAGTCTGCACTGGGCCAGAGCTAAACAGCTTGCTATAGTATTCAGGGAAGAGAGTATTACATACATTTGAATGGGGGCCTTACCAAAACAGCCCATGGTTTATGTAGGTAAAGACCATAATGTGGCACAAGAACGCGTACCAAGAGAAAGAGGGCAGAAGTAGAAGCCATGCATGTGGACACTGTCAGCTTCCCATGAAGAGAAAGTGCAAGCTGGGACCCATTAAACTCACTGCTAGGCTCTTGACTCCCTGACACTTCCTGTACTTTTTGAGGTTACGGGTGTTAGGGATGTTCCTGGAGTCCTTTACTCAGGGCTCCCCATCCAGCTCATCCCTGGCAGCCACAGCACATTTGACAGGACAGTGAGGGCCATTAGCAGAGGCCATGTTCTGGCTGTGGGAGAGAGAAAGCTACGCCTGAGGTCTAAAGAAATAGAGGACATCACCTCAGGACACTGGGAGAATGTGAAGGTCTTACCTACAGATGATACAAGGGCAAACACTTCCAGCATCACATCGTAGTACAGAAGTCTCTGAGCATCATCCAGGATCACCCACTCCACTTCAGAGAAGGCAATGGCCACGTCCTCAAAGTTCACATCCTGTCATAATGGGGACAGTACAGCCCATGATCAGATTCACTCCTAAGATTATAAGTCTGTCATATTCCCCACCCATGTGCTCTTTGCACGCTTCACATCCGAGAAAATACCAGGCCTTCATCCCACGAAAGCCACTGTCTTCTTATTGAACAACACTTCTCTCACACAGCTTCTTTCCCAGACGCACACCTTCAAAGGTAGTGCAAATTGTCGTGGCGTGGATATATTATTTCCTAATCACCTCTTTTCCAAAAATATAGGTCCCCATCTCCATAATCTATTTCTCTCTTACCCTTCACCCTTACCCATGCCAGTGGAGATTTACAAGCCTGAGTAACACTGATGAATGCTACCTCATTCCCATCAACCAGTGTGTCACTCCCAACAACAAAAAGCAGGTGGTTAGTTAAATGGCACCTAAGCTCTTAACCTAGAATGTGGCACCCACACACCCCTCTTTACAGGCAATTACCCTAAAATTGACCTTACTGTTCCATCCAGGCACCACCAGAAATGGACTCTTCCTTCATTCACTCTTATGTCAATGTCATGGTGCTGTGGCCATGAATTCACATTCCCTCTCCAAGTGCACATCACTCCATCTACCACACCTCTCTCAAACCTGCACTTCCACAGCTCCTGCCCCCATACTCATCTCCCGGCCTTTACTTATTACTCAGCATGTGTGGTCCAGAGGACGGTGCCAAACTGAATCAGGATCAAATACTGCCCAGTTTCTGATAGTCCACACTCATAGTGGCAGCCTTGAGTGGTGCTATGGAGGCCTCTCTCCATGACTGTTTTTTTTTCCTTCAACCCCAACTATTAAGAACAACAATCAGATCTCAGATATCCATAGCCCACCTTCTGTTATGCTGCACTTGATGTCCCTTCACTAGTAACAGCCAACATCCCTCACTTAACCTTCACTCAAGTCCCAGCCCCGATGGCCCTCTGCACCATGCCCAGTGAGTCTCACTCAAGCCTCTAAGCCAGTGATGGTGAACCTGTGACACGCATGTCTGAGGTGACGCACGAACTCATTTTTTTGGTTGATTTTTCTTTGCTAAATGGCATTTAAATATATAAAATAAATATGAAAAATATAAATCTTTGTTTTACTATGGTTGCAAATATCAAAAAATTTCTATATGTGACACGGCAACTGGATTTAAGTTAGGGTTTTCCCAAATGCTGACACGCCGAGCTCAAAAGGTTCGCCATCACTGCTCTAAGCTAATCCACAAAACGAACTTCAACTCCCCACAGCCAGGCCACACTGAAGGTCACAACAACATCCTGGTGAGAGTTTAGAAAAGGTGTATGTACCAACCCTAGACTCTTGTTAGTTGAATTACTCTTCGGCCTCCAACAACCACCTCCCAAAAGAGTGGCCACAGCATGAAAGCCAGTCCTGGTGCAGAATGTGAGGCTATTGCTAGGCCAGCAAGCATTCTACCCTCTGGCCTCGCCCATAGTGTGCAGCGGTTGCTGGGCGTCAGGGAGCCTCCCGCCAGCTGGATGCTAAACGAGTCGTGGCTATCCAGACATCTGATAAGAGGACTCCTAACAAGATATTGTCACTGTAACCCTTAAATACCTGGATCATTACAGTTACCTCTAAATTTCACAGGATATATAAAGAAATCTTCGCCCCGTCCGAGGAGCAGCAGCCACGCGCAGCCAGCACCCATCAAAGGAGTAGCAGCTACGTGAGCAGTCCACCCCTGTCCAAGGAGCAACAGCCATGCAAGTAGCCCGCCACCGTCTGAGGAGCAGTAGCATGCGCAGCCTGCCCCCATCCGAGAAGCAGCAGCTTCTTGAGCATCCCACCCCAGTCTCAGGAGCAGCAGCTGTGCGAGCAACCCTCCCCCACCCCGCCAGAGGAGCCACCACTGCAGCCCCCACTATAGGAGCCACTGCCACCCAAGGAACAGGCCCTGCACGAATCCACATCTAGATCTGTCGGTGAGATCAAAAATAGTTACACGAAGAAACCCCCAAAGGAAAGAAAAGGAGGCATCACCAGATAAGCAGCTAAGTAGAACAGAGGCATGCAATATGTCAGAAAAAGAATTCAGAATAAGCGTCATACAGTTCATAAACAGGATGGATGAAAAAAAGAAATAACTTATGTAAGAATCAAGAAGAAATAAAGAATGACATAGCTGCAATAAAAAATACCATGTAATGTTTCAGCAGTAGACTAGAAGTGGAAGACCAAATTAGTGAATTAGAAGACAGGGAAGCAGAATACAACCAAACTGAACTGAAATTGGAAAAAAAAATTAAAAGGCAGCAGGAGAACCTAAGGGAGCTATGGGACAACATGAAACGATCAACATACAAATAATAGGGGTGCCAGAACAACAGGAAGAGGAACAATGGTTAGAAAACCCATTTGAAGAAATAATGTCAGAAAACTTCCCTGGCCCTGACCAGTTTGGCTCAGTGGCTAGAGCTTCCGCCTGTGGACTGAAGAGTCCCGGATTCTATTCCGGTGAAGGGCATGTACCTTGTTTGCAGGTATATCTCCAGTAGGGGGTGCACAGGAGGCATCTGGTCGGTTTTTCTAACTCTCTATCCCTCTCCCTTCCTGTCTGTAAAAAATCAATGAAATATATTTAGAAAAAAAAAGAAAACTTCCCTGATGTGGAAAAGAAAATAGTCATGCAAGCACAGAGTCCCAAACAAGATGAACACGAAAGACCCACACCAAGACACATCATAATTACCATGGCAAATGTTCAGGACAAAGAGAGAATCATAAAGGATGCAAGAGAGAAACAGAAAGTTACGTACAAGGGCTCTAAACCATTAGATTATCAAATGACTTCCCTATAGAAACACATCAGGCCAGAAAAGAATGGAAGGAAATTTACAAAGTGATACAAAGAAAGGGACTAAGTCCAAGAATACTCTCTCCAGCCAGGCTATCATTGAAAATTGAAGGGGAAATAACGATCTTCACATACAAAAAAAAGCTAAGGGAGTTTATCACTACCAAGCCAGCAATGCAAGAAATGCTAAAGGGAATGGTGTAAAAAGAAGAAATAACAAGGGAAGAAGGAACACAGGCACAAAAAATAAAAATGGCTACAAATAACTATCAGTAACTTTAAACATAAACGAACTAAATGCTCCAATCAAAACACATCGAGCAGCTGAATGGATAAAAAAAGAACATGACCTATATATATGCTGTCTACATGAGACACACCTCAGAACAAGGGATTCACACAGACTGAAAGTGAAGGGATGGAAAAATATCTTTCAGGAAAATAGAAATGAAAAAAAAAGCCAGGGTAGCAATATTTACATCTGACAAAATAGACCTCAAAATAAGGGCCATAACAAGAGATAAAGATGGCCACTTCATAATACTAATTGGAACGATATAACAAGAGGAGACAACCCTGATAAAAATATATGCACCCAGTGCAGGAGCACCAAATACATTAAAAATAACTCCTGGAAGATATCAAACGAGAGATCGACAACAATACAATCATAGTAGGAGACTTTAATACACCACTGACATCACTGGATAAATGCTCTAGACAAAAAAATCAGCAAAGAAACAGCAATCCTAAATGACTCACTAGATCAGATGGACTTAATTGACATCTTCAGAACATTTCACCCCAATGCCATGGAATTGAAGTTCTTCTAAGAACACATGGGACATTTTAAACAATAGACCACATATTGGGTCACAAGCAAAGTTTCCCCAAATTGAAGATTGAAATCATATCAAGCATCTTCTCAGACCACAATGGCATAACATCCTATCTAATATAAGAAAACATGATAATTAGCCGTAACTTTGCTGCCCTTCCCATTGGCTAATCAGGGGGATATGCAAATTAACTGCCAACCAAGATGGCAGCCAGGCAACTGACGCGAAAAGGAGGCTTGCTTCCTCCAGTGACAGCGGAAGCCATTTTCCCCACCTGCCGCTGCTGGGCTCTGAGCTGCTCTCTAAGAAACATTGTTACAAATATAGAAGCTAAACAAAACCCCAGATACCTGCTTTCAGCCAGCCAGGATCTCAAGCTGGAGTCGCAACAAAGTTTCAAATACAGAAGGTAAACAAAGTCCAGAAACCTGCTTTCAGCAGCTGAGGTCTCACAGCTAATGCCGGCTCTCAGCTCCAGTGACAGCCATAGAAGGCAAATAAATCCCAGAATAAAAAAAAAAAAAAAGGAAAAAAGGAGAGGTTGGGAGCTTCAGTCACCCACCAGCCTGAAAACGGCCCTCAGCCCCTCACCCAGCCTGGCCAGGAACCCCAGTGGGGACCCCCACACTGAAGGGGGTGTGACCTGCTGCAAACAGGCATCATCCCCTCATCCAGGCTGGCCAGGCACCCCAGTGGGGACCCCCACACTGAAGGGTGTGTGACCAGCTGCAAACAGCCATCATCCCCTCACCCAGGCTGGCCAGGCACCCCAGAGGGGACCCCCACCCTGAAGGGGGTGTGACCAGCTGCAAACAGCAATCATCCCCTCTTCCAGGCTGGCCAGGCACCCAAGAGGGACCCCCACCCTGATCCAGGACACCCTTCAGGGCAAACCAGCAGGCCCCCACCCAAGCACCAGGCCTCTATCCTATATAGTAAAAGGGTAATATGCCTCCCAGCACCGCGATCAGTGGATCCATGAGGCCTCCCAGCACCGGGATCAGCGGAGCAGCGAGGCCTCCTAGCACTGGGATCACTGGAGCCACAAGGCCTCCTGGCCCATGGAGCAGCGTGACAGGGGGCAGCGCCCAAACCCCCTGATCGCCCTGCGGCTCTGTGTGTGACAGGGGGCGGCGCCACAACCTCCCTATCTGCCCTGCTCTGTTTGTGACAGGGGAAGGCGCACCAACCCCCTGATCGGCCCTGCTCTGTGCCTGATAAGGGGAAGCTCCCCAACCCCCTGATGGGCCCTGCACTGTGTGTGACAGGGTGTGGCACCCCAACCCCCCATGGGCCCTGATGTGTGTGTTACGCGGTGGAGCCACAACCTCCCCATCGGTCCTGCCCTGAGTGTGACAGGGGGGAGTGCCCCAACCCCCTGATTGGCCCTGCTCTGTGGGTGAGAGGGGGCGGCGCCCAAACCTCCCCACCGACCCTGCCTTGAGTGTGAAAGGGGGCGGCGCCCCAAACCCCCAATCGGCCTTACCCTGAGCGTGACTGAGCGTGGCATCGCAACCTCCTGATCGGCCCTGCTCTGTGCGTGATAAGGGGTAGCTCCCTACCACCTGATCGGCCCTGCTCTGTGCGTGACAGGGGGGAGCTCCCAACCCCCTAATTGGCACTGCTCTGTCCGTGACGGGGGCAGCGACCCAACCCCCAGATCCGCCCTGCTCTGTGCGTGACAGGGGGTGGTGCCGCAACCTCCCCAACGACCCTGCCTTGAGTGTGACAGGGGGCGGCACCCCAACCCCCCAATCGGCCCTACCCTGAGCGTGACTGAGGGTGGCATCACAATCTCCTGATCTGCCCTGCTCTGTGCATGACAGGGGGCGGTGCCCCAACTCCCCAATCGGCCCTGCTCTGAGCCCGACCAGGAGCTGCGGGGCAGGCACCTAGGGATTGGGCCTGCCCTCTGCCACCCGGGAGTGGGCCTACGCCAGCAGGTCGTTATCTCCTGAGGGGTCCTAGACTGAGAGAGGGCACAAGTGGGGCTGAGGGACATCCCCCTCCCCAGTGCACAAATTTTTGTGCACCGGGCCTCTAGTTAGAAATAAACTACAATAAAAACAATCCAAAAAATTCAAACACTTGGAAGCTGAATAGCATGCTATTAAACAATGACTGGGTTACCAAAGAAATCAAAGAAGAAATTAAAAACATCACGGAAACTAATGATAATAAAAACACAACAATCCAAAATCTATGAGAAACAATGAAAGTAGTCCTGAGAGGGAAGTTTATAGCTCTACAGGCTACCTCAAAAAACAAGAAAAATGGTAGTAAATCATCTACTCTACCACTTAAAGAATTAGAAGAAGAGCAACAAGAACAGCCCAGAGTGAGACGACGGAAGGACATAATAAAGATCAGAGCAGAAATCAATGACATGGAAACCAAAAAAAACAATTCAAAAGATCATTGAAACCGAGAGCTGGTTCTTTAAAAGGATAAACAAGATTGAGGAACCTCTAGAGAGACTCAACAAGAAGCAAAGAGAGAGGACCCAAATAAACAAAATCAGAAATGAAAAGAGGCAAAATTACATCAGACCCCACAGAAATACAAAGGATTGCTAAAAAATACTATGAACAACTCTATTCCAACAAACTAGACAACCTAGAGGAAATGGACATATTCCTAGAAAAATACAACATTCCAATACTCAATCAGGAAGAATCTAAAAATCACAATAGGCCAATAACTATAGAAGAAATTGAAGCAGTCATCAAAAAGCTTCCAGCAAACAAAAGCTCGGGGCCAGACGGCTTCACTGGGGAGATTTACCAAACATTCAATGAAGAACTAAAACCTATGTTCCTCATACTACTCCAAAAAAGTCAAGAGGAAGGAACACTTTCAAGCTCATTCTATGAAGCCAGCATCACCCTAATACCAAAACCAGATAAAGACAACACAATGAAAAGAATTACAGGCCAATATCCTTCATGAACAGATGCCAACATCCTCAATAAAATTCTAGCAAATTGGATCCAGCAGTACATCAGAAAGATCATACACCATGACCAAGTAGGATTTATCCTGGGGATGCAAAGATGGTACAACAATCGCAAATCAATAAACGTGATACATCACATTAAAAAACCGAGACATAAAAATCACATAGTCATATCAATTAATGCAGGAAAAGCATTTGACAAAATCTAACACCCCTTCTTGATAAAAACTCTCAGCAAGGTGGGAATAAAAGATCACATCTCAACATAATAAAAGCCACATATAACAAACCCACAGCCAACATCATACTCAATGGGCAAAAACTAAAACTATTTTCCCTAAGAACAGGAACCAGACAAGGATGCCCACTCTCACCACTCCTACTCGACTAGAAGTACTAGCCATTGCAATCACACAAGAAGAAGGAATAAAAGGAATACAAATTGGAAAAGAAGACGTAAAACTGTCCATATTTGTAAATGACATGATACTGTACATAGAAAATCCTAAAGACTCCATCAAAAAATTATTAGACTTAATAAATGAATTTGGCAATGTAACACCAAGAAATGTATGGAATTTCTATACACCAACAGTGAACTTACAGAAAAAGAGACTAAATAAGCAATCCCGTTGACCATCGCACCAAAAATAATTAAGATACCTAGGAATAAACTTAACTAAGGAGGTAAAAGACCTATACATGGAAATCTATAGGGAACTGAAAAAAGAGAGAGAAGAAGACATAACCAGATGGAAGAACAGACTCTGCTCATGGATTGTTAGAATCAACATCATTAAAATGTCCATACTACCCAAAGCAATCTATAGAGTCAATGCACTTCCCATTAAAATAACAACGGCATACTTCACAGATCTAGAAGAAACATTCAAAAAATTCATCTGGAATAAAAAAAGACCCCGA